ACGTTGTTCTAGCCCGGATCTGGAGGAGGGCCCCAGCTGGCCTGATTTCATCTGCTCTCAGACACCTAAGCAGGGTCAGCCCTGGTTAGTACTTGGAGGGAAGACCTCCAAGAAAGTCCAGGGTCGCTACGCAGAGGCAGGCGATGGCAAACTGCTTCTGGTCCGCCTCTGGCCTTGAAAGCCCTACAGGGTCTCCCTAAATTGGCTGCGACTTGACAGCATTTCCCCCACACACACACACCAGAGTTGGAAGGGCCTCAAAAGCCATCCGGCCAGACACCCCCAGGTACACGCTTGCAATCCGGGCCACACTGTGCTACATTAAGTGGTGTCGCCTGATGACTCAAACAAGTGAGCCAGTTTACAAACCGACGGCAAAGGCTAATCTTTCCTAGGCAGTTGGGGCGCAGAGGAAATTTCTTCCTGCCGCCAAATGGGCTACTCTGCCAAGTTCCATACCAAGTCATCCCAAAAGGACGTGGGGTGGGGCTGGGGTGGAACCTATGCCCTCAAACATTTGTATCTCTCCATGGAACCTCTTGGGCTCCGGCGGAAGATGGAAAAAATAAAGTCACGGCCAGACAGAAGACCTTTACCTGAACGCAGTAAATGAGTTCCGGAACAGACTGCATAGTAGCCTGACAGCCAAGCCTGAGCTTATGTAAGCCTGAAAGCTAAGCAGGGTCAGCCACGGCTAATAGTTGGATGGGAGACCACCAAGGAAGCCCAGGGTTGTTCTGTGGAGGAAGGCAATGGCAAACCACCTCTGTTCATCTTTTGCCATGAAAATCCCATGGTCCCTGGGGTCACCACAAAATTATTATTATAAATTGCCTTTGCTTCACAGGAAGCTTTGAGCTCCTGCCTTCTTATTTGGAGTACTGTGTATAGTTCTGGTCAAAAACTATATTATAGCATTGGGAAAAGGGCAATTAGAGTGATAAAAGGGTTGCAACACTTTCCCCATGTGGAAAGGTTAAAGCGCTTGGGGCTCTCTAGCTTGGAGAAACGACAGATGAGGGGTGACATGATCGAGGTTTATAAGATTATGCATGGGATAGAGCAGGCAGAGAAAGAAGTCCTTTTCTCCCTTTCTCACAAGACAAGAACTCGTGGGCACTCCATGAAATTGCTGAGCGGTCGGGTTACAACGGATAAAAGAAAGTCCTTCTTCACCCAAAGAGTGATTAACACCTGGAATTCACTGCCACAGGAAGTGGTGGCGGCTACAAGCATGAACGGCTTCAAAAGGGAATTAGATAAGCATCTGGAGCAGAGGTCCATCAGTGGCTATTAGCCACAAGGTATAGATAGGGGCTCTGGGGCAAGTGGGAGGGCTTCTGGTGTCCTGGCCCCACTGGTGGACCTCCTGATGGCACCTGGTATTTCTGGCCACTGTGTGACACAGAGTGTTGAACTGGATGGGCCATTGGCCTGATCCAACATTGGCTTCTCTTATGTTCTTTCAAATGCCAACTATTGGCATGATCCAACATTGGCTTCTCTTATGTTCTTTCAAATGCCAACTATTGGCAGTTGTTACAACTGTCAAGTTCTCAGTAGCACAGAGATGACAGAAACCAGAGGTGGGTGGAATGTGAGAGAAGACACACAGCCCGATATGGGAGTGAAACACTGAATCGAAAACACAACCGTGAAGCCCTATTTTAGGATCGTCACAGAATCAGAACGAGAGCGTTTGAAAGCAAAGCAGGACGCCCTTCACGCTGGGCTCACAAAGTGGGGGGCTTCTCTGCCTTTCAATTCTTTCCCTTCGTATGGGCGACTAAATTTATTTATTTGTTTGATTTTTACCCCGTTCTCCCCGCCGAGGCAGGCTCAGGGCGGCTTACACAAGAACCAATAGGTAAACAATACAAATATTAATACAGAAGACACAAATTATTAAAAGCAATTAACAAAACGATGGCGGTACCATTACAATGAAGAGCATTTATCGGTCCATCCATTAGCGGCGGGCTCGGGCTGGAAATAGACTGGCACCAGGCACAGATGATAACGCGGCTCCTACCAAAATGCCTAGCAAAAGAGCTCCGTTTTCGTGGCCCTGCGGAACTGTGCGAGGTCCTGCAGAGCCCTTATCTCATCCAGGGGCTCATTCCACCAGGTAGGAGCCGCCACCGAAAAGGCCCTGGCCGATACCAGCCTGGCATCCTTAGGACCAGGGAGGGCCAAACGGTTTTGCGACCCTGACCGTAGTGCTCTCTGGGAAACGTGTGGGGAAAGGCGGTCCCTCAGGTCGGCAGGTCCATGACCATAAAGGGCTTTAAAGGTCAAAACCAGCACCTTGAAGCGAATCCGGTATGCTATTGGCAGCCAGTGCAATGCCTTCAGCGCTGGCTTAAAGGGAGCACCGCCGGCCAGGCTGACAAGTGGCAAAGTCCGGCCGCTGGCCCTGAACTTCGGTGGCTTGAGAAATGCTGACTGGGGATCTCCCTTGCAGGGCAGGAACACGTGACGACTTCAGACAACAACAGCTGCAAGGGCAACATTTAGTGCAAAGTTTAGATGCAGATCATGTCAGAGTTTTCACTACAGTTCCTCTGCCATTTTTAATCATTTCAGTTCCAGTTATACAGCATCTCATTCCGGGGGCTAGGGAAAGCGGAAGGCAGCAGGAAAAAAGGAAGACCGAACAGGAGATGGATGGGATGCAATTAAGGAAGCCACGGTTTGCAAGATCTGAGCACGGCTGCTAAGGCTTTGCAGGTTGTTAATTCGTAGGGTCACCGTAAACCAGAAGGGATCTGGCGACACTTCACACACACACACACATTTGCAGAAATGTTCCACGGGTGGATCCTCAGAAACCCTCCCGCAGTTTCTGTGCTCCCAGAGGTCATTTCGGGTGACCAAACTGAGCCTTCTGCTGTGTTTGGTCACGTTCAACGTAGCAGTCAAAGGCCCTCTATGTAGGGTCAGATTATTTTTAAATTATCTGCAAATGATCTGTTGTAGATTTTCCGGGCTGTACGGCTGTGGTCTTGGCATGGTAGGACCTGACGTTTCGCCAGTAGCTGTGACTGGCATCCTCAGAGGTATAACACAGAAAGATGGAGTCCTCTCTGTGTCAAGATGACACAGGTCCTACAATGCCAAGACCACCGCCATACAACCCGAAAAATCTACAACAGCTAATGAACTCCGGCCGTGAAAGCCTTCGACAACTTATCTGCAAATGTCTGAAAAATGAGGCAGCAGCTAGCCGAATCTGACCTGGCCGTGCCTATTTCTGTCCCTTCTGCTCCTTGCCAATGCGGGGAGGGCAGCATATTAAGCCCTTAAGTAAAGGTAAAGGTTCCCTTGCTCGAAAGCCAGTGGAATCCGACTCTAGGGTTGCGGTGCTCATCTCTGTTTCCAAGCCGAAGAGCCAGCGCTGTCCGAAGACGTCTCCGTGGTCATGTGGCCGGCATGACTAGACACCAAGGCGCACGGAACGCTGTGACCTTCCCACCGAAGTGGTACCTGTTTATCTACTTGCAATTTCTTGCTTTCGAACTGCTAGGTTGGCAGGAGCTGGAACTAGAGACGGGTGCTCACTCCATCATGCGGCACCCGGGTCTCGAACTGCTGAACTACTGACCTTCCACAGCCTGCAGTTCGGCGTCTTAACCACTTGAGCCACCTCAGCCCTTAATGAACATCAAAACCACAGAGGTCAAATAGCCCTGCAGCTGGAACAAAGCCCCAGCTCCAGAGGTGCACTTTCCAAATGTTTATTGAATTATTTGGAATGTTCATCCTCTTTCTCCCCATGTAAATAGTTGAAATTGCAGTATGCTCCAGCAGCAAACAAAAGTAAGTACAGTAAGGAACAGTCTTTATTTTACATGCCTCGCTTTAGTAAGAACTTAAAGACATCAGAAGAGCCCTGCTAGATCAGACCAGTGGCCCATCAAGTTTGGCATCCTGCCTCACACAGTGGTTGACCAGTTCCTATGGAGGACCAACAGGACAGCATAAGGGCCGAGGCCTTCATAAGAAAAGGTCTGCTGGATCGGACCAGTGGCCCATCCAGTCCAGCATCTTGTCTCACACAGTGGCCAAACAACAGGGCACAAAGCTCAAGGCCTTCCCCTAATAAGAGCAAAAGAAAAGCCCTGCTGCATCAGACCAGTGGTCCCTCTAGTCCAGTATCCTGTCGCACTCAGTGGCCAGCCTGTTCCTCTGGAGGGCCAACAACAGGGCAGAGAGGCCGAGGCCTTCCCGTGATGAGAACATCAGAAGAGCCCTGCTGGATCAGACCAATGAGAGTCCATCTAGTCCAGCATCCTGCCTCAGACAGTGGCCAACCAGTTCCTCCAGAGGGCCAACAACAGGGCAGAGAGGCCAAGGCCTTCATTAGAACATCAGAAGAGCCCTGCTGGATCAGACCAGTGGTCCATCCAGTCCAGCATCCTGTCTCACACAGGGGCCAGCCAGTCCCTCTGGAGGGCCAACCGGACGGCACAGAGGCCGAGGTCTTCCCCAGTGTTGCCTCCTGCCTCTGAGATTCAGAGGTTGTCCCTCCCAGAAACTTCTTGTCCTGAACTGAACAGAAGTTGCATTTTACTCTTGTCTCCTGCTGCCAGGGTGAACGGTTCAAGGTTTACTAGAGTCCGTAGGATAAAGTGGGTAGACTGGGGGGGGGGGGGCCCCAGTTCAACTGCGAAGCTCGCTTGCTGAACCTGGGCCAGTCGCTCTCAGCTGAACCTACTTCACAGGACTGTTGTGAGGACAAAACTGTGGGAGGGAAGGACTGTGTGTGCTGCCCTGAGTTCCTTGGGGGAAGCACCAGATGGAAGGTCATGAACAGATCTCTCTCTCTCTCTCTCTCTCTCTCTCTCTCTCTCACACACACACACACACACACACACACACACACCATTTGCACCTTTCACACGGGAGAGGTGAGGGGGGAGCAGGAAAACCTTGCGGGAGGCTTTGTCACACCAGAGGCTGTGACGCCAGCATGACAAGGGTGCGGAAGAACCTTTTACCTTTAATCGGATCCGGCTCTGGCCCTCGGACACTTCGAGCACTTCGATCAGTGGCCGACGTTCCGTCTCGGGCTGGCTGGGGCGGGAGGCTCTTTGCAGGTTGTCCAGAAACTCAGCGACGTTGTCTTCGGTAACAAACAACTTTTCCTAAAGGGGACAGACAAGCACAACCATTTAGGCTTTGTTTTATGAGTAGCTACTAAAGATGGGACTTGCACGCTCACAGGGTACCCTGCCTTACGCATACAGATCGGGGACCTACTGCTGTTCCGCAGGGCCTGCAAAATGGAGCTGTTCCACCAGGCCTTTGGCTGAGGTGGCCGACGTCCAGTGTAAAAGTTGACCTCCACTGTGGAAGTGGAGCAGAGGTCCCTCAGTGGCTATGAGCCACAAGGTATAGATAGGAACTCTCAGTCTGGGGCAATACAAGAACTCGTGGGCACTCAATGAAATTGCTGAGTGGTCAGGTTAGAATGGATAAAAGGAAGTCCTTCTTCACCCAAAGAGTGATTAACACATGGAATTCACTGCCACAGGAAGTGGTGACGGCTACAAGCATGGACGGCTTCAAAAGGGAATTAGATAAGCATATGGAGCAGAGGTCCATCAGTGGCTATCAGCCACAAGGTATAGATAGGGGCTCTGGGGCAAGTGATGCTCTGTCTTCTTGGTGCTTTGGGGGGTCAACAGTGGGAGGGCTTCTAATGTCCTGGCCCCACTGATGGACCTCCTGACGGCACCTGGTATTTCTGGCCACTGTATGACAGAGTGTTGGACTGGATGGGCCTTTGGCCTGATCCAACATTGGCGTCTCTTATGTTCCCTTATGTTCTTAAGGGATGCTCTGTATTCTTGGTGTTGGGGGGGGCAACAGTGGGGGGGGGCTCCTAGTGCCCTGGCCCCACTGCTGGACCTCCTGATGGCACCTGGTATTTTTGGCCACTGTGTGACACAGAGTGTTGGACTGGATGGGCCATTGGCCCGATCCAGCACTGGCTTCACTTATGTTCTTATAAGTTCACCAGCTCGATGTGGCCCAGAGTAAGGAGATCCTAGAGACCTAGCGGTAACAGCTCTGAAAACTGTGTATAAACAAATAAGGGCAATCTGTTTTTAAATTGTTGTTCATAAATTGTTGTTCTTCACTGTTTTTAAACTGTTTATCGATGTATTTATATTACAATGCCGAATGGCTTTGTGATGCGCCCTGAGCCCACCTGTGGGAAGGGCGAAATATAAGATCGATAAATAAATGAATAAATGGCAGAGAACTAGGGTTGCCAACTTCAGGTTGTGAAATTCCAGGAGATTTCGGGGGCGGAGGGACCTGAGCAGGGCATACGGCCATAAAGTCCACCCTCCAAAGCAGCCGTTTTCTCCAGGGGGAATCGACTTCTGTCACCTGGAGATCCGGTGCGATCCCTGCAGATCTCCAGGCACCACCCTGGAGGCTGGCAATCCTATAGAGGGGTGGGGGCAAGAACCCTCCCACGCTTCAGGCGAAGCACCATTCCTGGAGACGCGAAGAGTCGGACTCGACTGTGCGACCGAACAGCAGCAGCAAAACTCAAGTTGTCGCTGTGTTTTGGCTTACATGAAATCTGGAGGCAAAGCGGGTGATTTAATCCACATTTAATCCACAGGACGACTCACGGCAACCCTCTGCAGCGTCTTTCCTTGGTGGGCTGCCTTCCAAGCACTGACCTGCTTAGCTTCCGAGGTCTCGTGGGACTACATAAGAACATAAGAGACGCCAATGTTGGATCAGGCCAAAGGCCCCTCTAGTCCATCACTCTGTGTCACGCAGTGGCCAAAAATACCAGGTGCCCTCAGGAGGTCCAGCAGTGGGGCCAGGACACTAGAAGCCCTCCCACTGTTGACCCCCCCCCCAAGCACCAAGAATACAGAGCATCACTTGCCCTGAGAGTTCCTATCTATACCTTGTGGCTAATAGTCACTGATGGACCTCTGCTCCACATGCCTATCTAATTCCCTTTTGAAGCCGCCCATGCTTGTAGCCACCACCACTTCCTGTGGCAGTGACTGGGCTACGGCGTGCTGCCTTCCCCCAAAACCCCCCCCCCCCCAAACTCAGCAAATGGTTTTTAACACGAGGGAAATGATGCCCGCCAGTGTTCCCTCTAAGCTGAGTTAGTGTGAGCTCGCTCGCCATTTTTTAGCCTCCGGCTCACACATTTCTGTCTTCGCTCAGGAAGGAGGGCTCCAGAGAAAACTAACTGATGCAATAGCCAAATTTCTTGCTCACAACTTTAATGCTGGTAGCTCACAAGGTAGAATTTTGCTCACAGGACTCCATAGCTTAGAGGGAGCACTGATGCCCACGTAAGAAATTCCTGGAGGTTTCGGGGGCGGAGGGACCTCAACAGAGTATACTGCCATAAAATCCACCCTCCAAAGCAGCCATTTTCTCTGGGGGAATCTACTTCTGTCACCTGGAGATCACAGCACGGCTTCTGTGTATTTGAGATTTGCAACAAGGAAAAATTCATCAGGAGAGGAAAAGGTTTGTGTGCAGATTCTGTGCTGTGTTCAAGGCACAGGAGCCCCGGGGGGGGGGGGGGGGGGGAGTTGGCATCCCTTGAATCATGGGATATGTGACTTGCTCAAGGCACTCTTGCGTTTCCACCAGAACGGGGCTCTCTGTGTGTTATCAACATGCAGGAGGGAAAGGACATCCTGGCTGGCTCGGGGTTTACTGCCACCATCACAGCAGAAGCCTCTAACTCTGGTTTGGTCTGGCCCTTCCGAAGTTATCACAGTGAAATCCCCCATCATCTGCAGAGCAAACTGGTGAGGGCTGGTAAGAAATGCCGAAAGGTGTCGGAATGCAGCCTGCCTGCCAGGAGAAAAGAAAAGCCAGCCAAGGGTGTGACTTCGTCTTGAGGGCTGGGAATTTAAAGTGGATCGTGCTGCGAAAACTAATTGCTCCAGCTCTTATAAATGCAACCTGCTGCATACAGTCATTAGCCAGGAAAAAAACCTGTTCGCTGTGGCTTCTCCATCTCTGGGCCAGAAAGCTACACCTGCTGAATTTTTGACTACCGCGGAGCTGTAAAAGGCAACGAAGTCCCATCAGGGTATGCCCCTCGCCATTCTGGCCCCCTCCCAGTGGCCAGGAGGGACCTGGCAACCAGGAGGAGGAGGAGGAGGAAGATACTGGATCTATGCCTTCACTCGGAGTCTCAGAGCGGCTTCCCATCAATGCTCCCTCTAAGCTGTGGAGTCTTGCGAGGAAAAATCCTACTCTGTGAGCTCCTGGCATTCCAGCTGTGAGTGAGCGATTTGGCCGCTGCATCAATAAGTTTGCTCTGGCGCCGTCCTTCCTAAGACAAAAATGTCTGAGCCGGAGGCTAAGAAACTGGGAGCTAGCTCACACTAACTCAGCTTAGAGGGAACACTGCTTACAATCTCCTTTCCCTTCCCCCTCCCCACAACAGACCCCCTGTGAGGTAGGTGGGGCTGAGAGAGCTCTTTCAAGGACTGCCCCTGAGAGAACAGCTCCGAGAGAACCTGTGTGTCAAACTCAGTGCTTCGTTTGCCATATGTCTGATGGGGGACGGAAATATGTGTGGGGAGTGTGTGTGAGAATGCTTTGTTTTCCTTTGCTTGGTAACGGCCTACGATGGACGCCGTCTCCGCTAGGCTTAGCTGTGATGGATGGTGGGGGCCGGGCTTGCCTGAATTATGCATACATCGGGAGCCAGTCTAAAATCTCAGGCGAGTTCTCTGCTAAAGATACAAATTTATCTAAGGTATAAGGGTCCAATAAATTTGCAGCCACCTGGGCGGTCTCATCGGACCAGAAGACTCGAGCTAATTTGGTTAATGCTTTTTCGCTCATCACGTTCTGCTGACTGACGAAGAACTAGAAAAGTTTAAGGCTAGAGTCAAAGGGAAATGATCGCTTTCAACCCTCTCCAAGATTGGAAAGGCCCTAACCTCATCTTTCAGAGTCGGTGAGAGCAAACCTATAACCCACCACGCTACAACCACGGACAGAGGTGAACGTAAACTCTCCTGGGTAGTCATAAAGAGAACCATTCAAAATAGATTAAATCTCAAGCATAATTAGACTAGATGAACCCAACGTCATTAAATATTACACCTCTGGAAAATCTATTATTAGATAGACAGATGAAACGAGCATCTTCAAAGGCAAGACCTAACTTCTCTACTGTCTCGGAGCCATTCTGGCCCACTCTGGCATTAAAATCACCAGCCAGAATAATATTAGGAGTTGGAAACTCCTGCTCTAGCTCCTCTAGATAATTATGTATACTTATAGAGTTCGCGCCTGTCATGATCTGGGCTGTGCCACCAGAGGCCTACTAGGCCCAGGGAGCCTGGCTAGCAGTAGGGGAGGCTGGGTCTACAAACCCCAGAAGGCCTTGGGAAGTTTTGGCGCCAATTTTGACCAATAGGGAAGAAGAGGGCTGGGGAATAAAAGAACTGGTGCAAGAGGAGAAGCTGTTCTTTCTTCCAAGAGGGCAGAGCCAGAAGGAAGGCTGCTGCAGGGAAGAGACCCTCATCCTGAGGGAAGGGTGAGTAGTCTAAGGCCGCTTGAGATAGTGAGCTAGGGACAGTAAGTTTAGACGCGTTAGGGCATTTGATTCCTTTTCGGTCCTCATACTTGTTATTCGGCCAAAAGGGAGGTCTAAAGGTCTTGTGAGGGTGCTCTGGGCCTTCTCAAGGGATCCTAAATCCAGAGTGGTGGCAGCGTCAGGTGACACCCCACATAAACCGTGACAGCGCCTTAATCTTTAGTTCTGACACAGAAGTGTCCTGACTGCAACTTACCAATGCCTCAATAAATGTATGACTCACAGAGAGTGCTGTTGAGAGCAAGTTTGTCCAGGAGTCTGACATTGTGACTAACCCAAAGTCACACCAGCAGCTGCCTGTGGAGGGGTGGGGAATCAAACCTGGTTCTCCCAGATCACAGTCCACGCTCTTAACCACCACACCAGACTGGCTACACCCCTTGCCAAACCAGAGGGCTACTCCCTGCGGTTGAGCTCTGAAGCTGCTGCACTGAACTCTCCAACCAAACACGTCTAACTGCCTGCAGCAGCACTGCCTTGCCGAACACCTGACCTTCGGACGTCGCTGGTTTATAATGAATTCTA